GTCTCTTTAAATATTAACTCAGTTAAAGTTTAAGAGACTAAAACTGCACAAATATTATATTTTAAGAACCAAAAACACATTTAAGTCAAAAATATAATTATATATACTAAGAGAAAACCGACACTCTTGCCTCCCTTATTTAAAAAAAAAACAAAAAATAAAATATAAAATGTGGATAGTTAATAGAAACCTGTGGTTAATTTGTGGTGATGAATTTACAAAAATAATACTAATATTTTTACAATATCGTGAACACCAAAAAAAAATTATCCTCTTTTATGTAAAAAAGATATTTTGTCTTTCTTTAAATACACAGACATTAGTTGAGATTGTGAGCAGTTATTAAGAGATTAAAAAAAACTTATATCAAACCTGGAGCAGTTATTAAAAAGAAACTTATTTTCAACAATAATTTGTACATAAAACCTGGAAATAATGGAATGTGAAATAAAAATAAAAAGGAAATAATGAAATAGATGGTTGTGAGTGGTTATTCGGATAAAATATGAAAATTTATTCTTTTTTAATATTTGAAGAATATAATAATTCACTAAAAAGTGGTGATAAAGAACAGTCACACTTGAAAACTATTTGATACTTCATTGTATAAATTTAATTCAACACATAAAATAATTTTATAATTATTCATCAATTTGAACTATAGAAATGGAATATCAAATAGTTTCTAAATTTTTTTAAAAAAATTTGTAAACTTGATATATGCATTAAAAAAATTAATTTAATGATTGAATTGTTAAAATTTGATCTAAAACATGAGTTATTGAATGAAGTAAGTCTGAGTAAACTTACTCTTGGAGCAAGTGAATCCCACTTTATATATTATATATCTATACCTATTATAAAGGAATACCAATATGTGCACTTAAGTTAAATTTCAACGTATTATAAAGAGGAATGATCTAATTACTCCTTTCAATAACTCATATTCAACATCAAATTTAAAAAATTCAACCGTTGAATTAAAAATTTTTAATACATAGATGAAGTCTACAAATCTTCAAAAAATTTGAAAGTCATATGATACTTCGTTATATAGATTCAAGTTAAGATATAAAATGTTTTTACGATTATCCGTTAATTTGAATTAAAAAAATAAAGTATCATATAATTTTTAATTTTTTTTAAAAAAATTGTAAATTTGATCTATGCATTAAAGAATTTTAATTTAACAATTAAATCATTGAAATTTGATATAAATCATGAGTTATTGAATGAAATAAGTCTACTCAGACTTACTTTTAAAAGAAAACTTAAGTATAATTTCTTAGATGTGGTTGTTGTTTCTCTCCAATCAGAGTTTGAACTTTACCTCAATGTTATACATTTGCATTTAATACAGGTCTCATTAATATACATTTATTCATACTAATAAGGTAAAACTCCAACTCGAATTAGAGAACAACACCAATTGTACCTAAGTAATTCTTAAGTCAAAATACAATCTTGAATTCCTCAACTTTTGGAATTTTAGTGTTAACAAACGAAATGTTTTTACAAGAGAAAATATTTTCAAAAATGTTTATCAAACAAAGTGTAAGATGTAGATCATCTTACTCAGATGAAACATACAATGTGTCTCGTATATATTAAATGTTCATTATTTATTAAGACTAACGATAAATTTTTTTGAATATTTTATTCCTTAATAGATTGAACTAGAAAATCATCTTAGAACTCACAGATTTGTTAAGGAGAACAAGATCATGATTTTCGTCAGAACCAAGGACGAAGATCCTAAAATCAAGGAGAAAAACAGATAAAGGCATTGTTGTTGTTGCTTTACACTAATATTGCTTCTCCAAACTCCATTTTCATATGGAAAGATGTTAAATAACTTTATTGATCAAATAAGAGATACCATTTGGTAAAATGCATTTAATGTTTGCATTAAATGACTCAACGATTATCTCTCATCATAAGGAAAAATGTTGAAGACAGATGAAACAAACTTGTAAGCTACACTCAAAGTGTTGCAACGATTATCTTCTCCAAAGCTACAATATAAGAAGATTCAAAGTTCAAGAAAGGATATAGACACATGTATAGAAACATATACAAAGAAACACATTGTAAATAATATTTGTGTATGAACTTCATTCTTTTTTATAAAAGCTTAGTACAATGTATTGGTTTTATAACATCTAAGTGAGACAAAAATAACATCTTTGTAACCTTCATAATCATTTTTATAAGGTTGAGTATGGAGAGACTTGTCTGTAAAATAATATTTGGTTAAGTCTAGATAGACTTGTTTGAAAAAGAATACTTGGTTATTAAGCTTAGAGATGTTTGTTGTGAAAAGAATACTTGGGATAATTGCTTAAAGAGACAAGTCAAAGAATACTTAGGATTGAGCCAGAAGTGGCTTATTAAAAGAGTATTTGTATCTTTGTTGAAAGATAGTGGAACTCAATTTAGTTTGATTGAGAACTGGACGTAATCTTGATGATTGAGATGAACTAGTATAAAAATATATAATGTTCCATTTGACTTCTCTTCACACTCCATCCTACTAGTGTTATTACTTCACTATGAAAATGCAAATTTTTTATACACATTATTTAACCACCCTTCTAGTATATATCTTTCTTCAGAGTAATTCTACCTAAGTTTTTTTTTTTCTACTCTTATAAATAGATTCCTCCTCCTCCTCTTTCTCTCTCTCTCTCTCTCTCTATCTATATCTATATATATATATATATAT